TTGCTAGTCCATCCATCGGATAATTGTTTATGTCCACAAATGCACCACACGGGACTACATCGGAGTATTCCGCATACGGAGCAGAAATAATATCGAGAATAACAATAATAAAAGCGTTTATCAGCAACCATGAAATACTTGTCATTAGACTTGGTAAATCCTTTTATGAATTCGTTGCGACTCTCAAGCCATTTGGAATATCGTCTATATTGACTGACATCATTATTGTACTTGTGTGTTGGAAGTGAGTATATTCTGGCAAACTCATTCACAAACGTCGGTGTACATTCTTCGCTACTTCCAAGGAATACCAGTATTATCTCACCGTCGTAGCGACTAGCATAGTAGACTTCGTTAATTTGAGTTGGTTTTATGTCAGTCATTTCCTCGTAAGTAATCCATTCAAGTTCATGTTCACTTTCCAAGGAGGATTGAACCAAGTTGTCAATTGCTGGATTATTAATAATCCCTGACGTTAACGACATAGTTTGAATTGGAAATTTTTTCTCGGTGAGAACTCTCAACTTATTATTATGGTGTTACATTGCACGTGACAACTTTATAATGGCGGCCAGTAAGTTTTTTCAGCAGCCAGTACAATAAAATTTTATTTGTGATGCCAATGTTACCCTAATTAAAAAACGGTTTTACAGAATAAAGTACACGTCAATTATAAATAAAGTTATGCTATCTAACCTTAGGGTAAGTATTATATTTAGTACTATAAGTCTACCTCAAAATAATGGAGTCATCTCTCGCACAGCAAAGAAGTGCTATAAGACAATTGTGGGCTAATAATGTACGAAAGCCAAAAGTTCTTTCCGAAACAACAGGTGTCCCGTTGTCTACTGTGTACAGATATGCGCTCAATTAAAAAAAGATGGCAAGTTAGAACCACTTCCCGGTTCAGGGAGACCTAGAGTGCTTAGTCCAAAAAGCGACGTCAACTAGGTCGCGAATACTTCTACAAGGCTCAACGAATCAAACTCTGGCTTGATGTTTCACGAAGTACAATATTTCTCGGCTACATTGAAAGGTTGATATTCCCAAAACTGTCCCTTTTTTAACTGATAATCATAAAAAAAGACGGCTTAAACTTTAAATAATGTACTCTCTATATTTGCTTACATATTCAGTAAACATGCACGATTTTATTTCAGCGTCTTTTTAACTCAACCCTTGTTGGTTTTCCGGTTTGTTATTGTTGTTGCTATTGTTGCTGTTGTCGTAGTTGTTGTTATAATATAAGTATACTAATAGAGTCACACACATTTACTATTGTTGGGCCATTCGCTAATTCTTTTGTATTAACTGTCCGATTTTCTCACTTTCCAAATTTGGATGTCTAAAGGGGATAAATGGTTTTAGGTTGGGTTTTTGTCTGATATTTTCGTTTATTGATGTACCTTGTTCAGAGGGATCTCGTATTTGTTTTCTTTTGCCTCTTGTTGATGGGGGTCATTGTTTCATTGTGTGGTGTTGTTTTTTGTTGTTGTGATTGGTTTTCCGGTTTGTTATTGTTGTTGCTATCGTTGCTGTTTGTTGCTGTCGTCGTCGTTGTTGTTGTCGTTGTTGTTGTCGTTGTTGTTATAATATAAGTATTGTTGAACGTATGTAGCCCATTCGCTAATTGTTTTTGATACATTTGTATTAACTGTCCGATTTTCTCACTTTCCAAATATGGATGTCTAATCCTCATCAAAAAAAAAGAAAAAAAAGAAACAAAAGAAACAGAATAGCATAAAAAAAATAAATTTTTGTTAACACAAATAACAATCAACTGATTTAATTTCACTGTTTCATTGGTAACATCGAATTTTTTGCACGTGTTACAATTGAATATAAAGATTTCCTGAGGGCGATATTTACAGTGAACGTTATGCAAAGAGAATGGATACGTCTTATAGTCTTAGCATATGTTATATGTGTAAGGTTTGTTTCTCTTGTGGTATTACAATTCTTCGTTTACGTGTCATTGTCCAAAAAACACAAAAGCCAACAACAAGGTTCTTTTATAGTCGTATAGTATCCGCCAACACTCGACCTTCACAATTAGACTTCTAAAAGATGCGACTCAGAAATTTAAGTACCAAAGTGACTTGTCAAACGGTTTCAACATCAACCTTTGTAGCAGGTGCCGCAGTCAGTATCATCAAAAGCGTGCAAAACGAGAACAGCAAGTTTCTGTACAACAACCGACAGCTCTCACAAATAATACTTTTCTCTCTGAAACTGCCTCTCCTTAACGATACGTTTTTACCATCTGATACTGAAGACATTACTATTACGTAAATCAATGCCTTGTTGGTGGTGGTGAACCCCTTTAACCGCACGAAATTTTCTGCTAGACAAAAAAAAAGTGAAGTTGAAAGAGTATCAGTGACTAATGAGTTTTTTGTCCTTACGATCGAATCATTCAATGCGACCTTGTTCGTACCTTTCCAAATGTCGATTTATTCAAAAAAGAGGGTGGTGATTGGAAAGTATCAAAAAAATAGAGAATAAATTATTAAAGCTTGGGTTAGAAAAGAACGAAAAAAAAAAACTCAAAGAAAAATTGCTATGCCATTATCACATGCGCTCGATAAACCTACACACAAAACACAAATTAGTTACTTAAAAAGACAAGGACAAGAATACATAGCGTGCTATGGAGACAATCTTCTCAGTAAGTCTTCTCATCTCAGAAACCAACTCGTCTAAATACCAGCCCGCCTTTTGTTCGACCAAATACTTGAGAACCTTTAAGGAAAAATCATTAAAATCGGTTGGCATCAAAGCCAATGTTACATACTTCCATGTCATTTGCATCAAACAATTTTCTTCTTCCTACAAAAGGATTGTAGACACACCCCAACTTCCTGTACATTCTCAGGACCCTTCCGAGAAACATGTAAGAGACTTTTTACCTTCTTGTTTGAATACCCGTCATAATGCAGGTATACTATTCTCCAACGTAGGTCTTCGCTGATACTTTTCTATAAATAATATCAAAAGAGAATTGTAAGTATTGCATACTTATTTCATAATAAGTTACAATTGTTTCAAACCAGTTGTAATCTCATAATCGTCTTGTAATCGGTTGTAATCCTGGTGTAACCACTCAACAAGCTTTCTTTTCTTGCTTTGCGCCAAGTGATAAAGCTGTATTAAGTAGCGGCGTCTTCTACTCTTAATAATCGCGAGCGCGTAGAAGGTTTCACGTATAATCGCTATTTCGCAAAAAAAAAGTTGACCAAAATTTGTGTGACTCGGGAATTTTGAAAGGGCAATAAAATCTTATGTGGTGCTTGAATGAAAGCAAATTTTGTTCTCCAAAAAGTATAAAACATATAATATCATAACATATGCATTACAATGTTCATATAAGCTTCAAAAGACTTCTACATTCAAAGAATTTAAGCGACAAACCAGACTTTTTTTCGTAAGCATTATCTTCTTACTATCATTACTCTTCTTTGCAAAAAAAATGTGGCAGAAAATTAGACTAGACAACGTCTCACAGACAACTCCGTTCAAAAGCCGCTTTAGATAATCCCTGCTTGTTAGAATCGCTTGTAACAATCACATGCGTAGTCCCATACAAACACGTGGAATATATATGTTGTACCTCAGTTGGGGACCTGTCTCAGTTCTGGACTGAGATGACTGGGTTCTGGACTGAGTGTCTGGGTTCTGGACTGAGACAACTGAGTCCTGGACTGAGTGACTGGGTTCCAAACTGAGACAGGTCCCAAACTCAGACACAACATATATAAACCGTACCACAAACGATGTCTTATCTTTAGAAAACGACAAATTCATAATATCTTATGCGACAGACTTTATAAACTCAAAAATTCTCCCATTGTTGGATACAAAACACATATCTTATTACAGAAAACATCGCGTACCCCTCTACATAACACTCACATAAGACTCGATGTCTCACGTTACAAAACACTACCATATCATTGAGTCGCCACAAGGAGAGTCAATATTAATACACTACACAAAACCGCTTTCATAACAGACTCTGGTGTGATAAAAAAACATGAAAGGCTTCAATGTGTTGCAGAACAGCCACAACCGGCAAACTTTATTCATTAATATTCAATATTAATATAAACATCACGCTTTTTAATTTGTCATCATTTTCAAACAATATTTTGAACCCCTGCGGGGACACGTCCTATGACTATTGTATTGACAGTCATGACTTCTACATTGATAACGCCTGAATTTTGAGGATATTCAATCTTGACAGACGTTAAAAACAAAATTATGATAAGAATTACGGTCTCGAGTATAATCGGGTATTCATTATAATCAAGTGACCCCGTTCCGTGTAATATCACATACACGAATATGAACAAAAGTCTAATTAGATTCAACGCAAATAATAACGACGGTTTTGGTGTAGTCTCCCCGAAATGATATACCAACCGAATCCCAACAAATATAACTATTGCCACTCTAATTGCAAAAACCACCATCAAACTTGCGTTATAAATAGTTTTATCATCCAGTAGCGAGCTAAATCCCATTGTCAAGTAAGCGGCCTATATGGAAAGGTCAAGTTAAACATTTTGGTACGAGAAAACAAACGTAAGACGTCTAACGCCAGAGCTGAACTTTACCCCAGATAACCAAAGCATTATCAGCAAAACTGTGCCAAAAATAACATCGATACCACTAAATCGTGTTCGTTTTAGTGTATATAACATCAATGTCAATATCATCATTATCAGCAATTGGTAAGTTATTGGTTCAGCATAATAGAGAATCTTAGTATTAATATCGTCGTAATTGAAAATACTATTTTCGAAATCAGTCAAAATCTTTATAGATATTAAGTGCGAGGTTAGAGCCATTCCATTAATTAAGAGTTTATAGAAAGACAGGCCAGCGTCTTGGAATCTTATAATATAGAAGAGCGTAATCCCTGCGCAGACACCAGCAGCCTAATAAATTAATAAAGTATTAACGCATATTCTCGTTGAAAATCGAATCGATAAACTCGCTATTAATTTACCGCTGCTGTCGCCTTATAACAATTGACGATTGTGACTGTTTCTTGGTCGAGGCCTGCCATTTCGCAGTGTAAAAGAAATCATTTTATTTTGCATAACGTTTTATCGCTTTAATATAGGTATATAGAGTATGTTACACATATTTGCAGTTGTTGAACGTGTGTAGCCATTACAATCGTTTTTGATATATTTGATTTGTAAGAGCATCAATTAATATATTTTTGTTAATATTAATTAATATTCTGTCCATATTGGCACTGACAATGCCGAATATTCGATCTTAAAGACGTTAAAAACAACATAATGATAGTAATTACGATCTACATTATACTACCAAGCTGAACAGCGTTGGAATAATGTAACACTGGTCCGTCTCACAAATATTCAACGCATATAACGATGACGCTTTTGCTGTAGTCTCCACGAAGTAATATTTTAACCGAATTGCAACAAATACAATTACTGTTCCTCTAAGTACAAAAGCTACAATCAAGGTTGTGACAACAATAATACGTGCACACATGCAAGTGCCATGTAACAGCAGCCTATTTAGAAAATATGTGTCAGTTACGTTTACTTGTTAAATGATGCGGAGTGCATTAATATTATAAACTTACCAAAGTATATAACATAGACACTACTAAATCGTGTTCGCTTTAATGTATATAGCGTCAATATCATGACTATCATCGATTGGTAAATCTTCCTCATTGTTATAAAAGTAAATACTGTCAGTTTTCTTGTGAAACTCGATAGCATTAAGTTCCAGGTTAGAGTCATTCCATTAATTGGGAGTTTATAGATGGATGAGCCAAGGTTTGGTTTCTCATAATGTAGAAGCGCGCAAGCCCTACGTTGACGTCAGCAAATTCAACCTAGCGTGAAATTGACGAATATAAACTCACTATTGATTTACCGCTACTATGCCTTCAAACAATGATAAGACGCATAACTTCGACCATCACAAATTATTATGTAAAAGAAAATTCTTTGTTGCACATATTTGCTATTGTAACACTTGTCTTGTCGAACATGTGTGGCAATCCGAAACAATACCTGCATTTTAACCAAGTACCATTACCCACTTTTGATATATTTGTATCTGCATCAATAAATATTAATTAACTTTGATTAGTGTATGAAATAGTTATTGCTTTTTCATCTAACTAAAAAAGTGGAGCTATGTATCTATCATATACTATCTCTCCAATTATGAGAACTGCGATATCTTCCTTCCCACATTCTCCAAATCGTGGCTCCCTCCCCTCTTTTTTTAAATCCTTTGCGATTACATTTTTGAGGCTTTAACATCGCGCCGGTCACATCTGATCGCTTCGAAATTTTGTTCTACAGCAAAACGTTGTGAAAACGGTCAATATCGCTTTGTCTGAAATTATTTGAACACTATCTTATTCAGTCTTAATATTTTAACGTTTTGTCATAGCCTGTTCTCTTAACAATTGGTTTCTGAATATTATTGTAAACATTATTAGGCAGGATTATGTGTGAGCTTTACATTATCAATGCTTTCTCTTACATGTTTTATAGTGCACTTACAGTTATTATCTTGCTATTGCATGTTATCATAATTTAATTATGTTTACAATAATTGCGACCAAAAGAACTATTGTTATTATAAATAAGTTATCAAGACGAAAGATCAATAATTTCATCCGCTGCGCTTAATCGTTAACCAATAAACGTTTGAGCCCATTTTAGGAAATCTGTGTAATTCGCCTTAGATATCACACCTTACGCAATATAGAAAACGATGAATGAAAGTAAATCCAATATTCAAAACTTGCCCATAATATAAGCTGTTGTGATTAATTGATTTAATATGACTATGACGGTTAACCTAATCCAACACATTTTAGGAAATTATATAATATTAATGTGTTTAGTGTATCACAAATACCGATCACCTGTAAAATTTCAGCTCGGTTGGATGTTCTCCAGCAAATTTTCCAAACAGAAACGGCACATCGTTTATTCGCCAGATCTATCACAAATTTAGAGTTTCACTTATTACATCAATCATGAAACTGCTCGGCATGCAAATCATTACACTGCAAAGATATATCCCAAAAGAGGCGGTTCATCAAGCATTCTATCTGGACAGCCAACACCAGAGCCACAGACATTGTCGATTCAAAATCTACCATCAAAGACGTTTAGATTATAACTGATCGAGTCGATCTCGAATCATTCGAAAACGGTGATTGAACTATTAGACATCGTGTTTACAGGCGCGATTATGTTTGCTTGCTATTCATTATAGTATCCTGAATTCACTGAGCTTGGAGAGAACGCTCATAATAAAGCCTTTCTCCGATAAACACGACTTCCCACAAACGATCCGACTAGGGCATACCAATGAAACAATTTAACGAGTTGCCGGTATGGTATTATTATTCGATGGCTGTCCACATTTAGCTGGTGTGCTAATGCTAGTCGCGTCCCATCCAACGACTTATTTAATAGGTGACAGGATGTGAGATATTTTTGTCCAGAAAACCCGTTAATGGCAAAGAGTACCATTGATGGAGACTTTTTGTGTAGTCTGTCTGACAGTGCTCTGCTCCGTTCCATCTACAATGGTATGACCGAATGGAGCATTTCACAAACGATTCCAGGATATGATACATCGTTTGGTAAATTGGTTGCAGAGACCTAGAGTGGACGTAAGTCCATGATCGAACATATGAGAAAACTTGGACATTGGTGGCATCGGAGGAATAAGGGCGGATTAGGCGTTGCTACTTCAAGGATGAAAGTTCAGTGGTATGTTTGTCTTAACTGATAAATATGTTTACGTTGACAATAAAACTAACCATACTGATTCTTTAATGCCTCCGAAACCAAAGTATTCAACTAGATAAGGCAATTCCCGAGACTTGTCAGCCCTTGCATATCTCGATTCCATTGCAGATGGCTTCAATCTGCTTATCATGACGATATTCTCAACGTTATTACAAAGCACAACAGCAGGAGAAAACATTAGAGCAGCCAGTATCATCCGAATACGTGTCCTACGAGCGTAGCAATTATGCGGGCGTACTGTATTTAACTACACCGCAGGATTTATTTTAACGAGCTGTTCTTCCGCGTGTTGTTGCGCAGAAAACAGAACAGCCCCGATGAGTATTTTCGGTTCAATCAGTGAAGATGGAGGGCTTTCATAAGTCTTTTATCAGATCGAAATTTATCCTGCTTTGAAAATTATTTAACATCACTCAATTTGTCGATGGGGTGCTAGGTATTTGGTATTGGAGACACTTCATTTAGCAGATCATATTCTACTACGTATTCCGAAAATATGCTCAAGGCGCGTTACGTAACGCGCAACAGCTTGGTAGTCTCAACATCGTTCGAGTCAATCTAACGACAGGGGCTGGTGACGCTACACGGGACATTACCATTATTTGAGAATTCCTATACTATTAAGGGTATTCTAATACAAACCGAGTTAATCTCGATGTGATACCAGTATAATAGTAATGTATCCACAAGTGATTACATTCTTTATCTACTCGTCGTGGCATTGATGCAAGCTCGGGATCAGATGTTATTTTCCTTTTTGGCATCAATGTTTATTAACGTAATATTAACGTGTACAACACTAAATTATAACAATTTTATTCATAAGTGGATTTGTCAGAAAGTCGACACGATAACTAAAAAGCATTGTATACAATTGCACAAAATAAGGTGTATTCATGTGAAATTAATTTTTCAAATCGCGGAAAAGCCATTTATTGTCTCTCTTTTTCTTGGAGACAGCTCAGTTCTCATAAATTCTTGACTTATAGATGTACTATGCAGTATTAATATAATATACCCAGTACTTGCTATGATAATCATGGAAAAAACCACGATCGGCACGAATGTGTAAAAGTTAACGAATTTGGATTAGTATTAGCCTCTCATCCGTGAGATCGAATATCCATACACGAACATTATATTTGTGAGATTTTTGAGATACGCACATATATTCGATTTGCCTCAAACTCAATAACTATACTTGACAGATACCATATGTCTAGAAGATACCATAATACTGTATAAATGAAATAATTGCAATAACTGGTGGACATAATGTTCATGGAAGAGTTACTGAACGTGAAATATCTTATAGTGCTATTAGCATTATCGACCACTCTGAAACACCAATTCAGTGAGCTATCTCACTCCGTTGCTAATTGTAAAATGCTAAGCATGAGAAGCGCGGAAACCTTTGTTATAAACGTACAGCATGTTAAAGAAACTGTTATAATAAATGAATAAATGCAATGTCTTCTAAGAGATTATGTAAAACGGGTTATTAAAAGTTAAAATTATGGATTATCTTTGCATGCCGAGGCTTTGATCAATTATGATATTGGAATATTTCACTACAAATTGTCCCAACCTACCAATAATTTTAAAATTCTTTTCTCAAGGTCTCTCTTTACAATTGTCAACAACATTTTGACTGGCATACGGCCAGTCCAGAATTTCCAGAACATTTCATTGTTGGCTTGGATCGTTATTTAAAACAACGTCTAATTTAGTTGCAATTTAGGTAAGTTCAACTTATTCAACTCATTTAATAACGTGTAACAACCAGCATAAGAGTGGCTTCTCAAGCAGCAAGTGTTAATTCTAGACTGGTGATAGTAATAGGACACATGGACGTCTATTTTTAACAATTTTATTGCAAGTTTCTTTCAAAGAGAGTTTTGCATTTTTACATGTCAAGTATCATCAATGGACTGTCTGACATAAATTTCGATCTGACATATAACACTAATGCAAAAATAAGCATCCCACACAATCTTTCTAAATGGTTCTACAGCATGTGACTGTTTATTTACACGTATTACACGAAGTTGTGATCTGTCACTCGCTTATTATCATAGAGATCAGTTTATACGCGTAGCTTATCGGTAGTAAATTACCCCCACTGGTCTACCGCCCGTGACAATTATAAATTTTATGACTTGTTAACCGATTTTAATAATACACGTAATAAACGATATACATATTGGTCATTAATTGTCCCTGGCCACTTTAGTGATTC